GTCAAAAGTAGAGTGGCTTGCTTGCATCACATGTTGGAGCTATTCCTGTAGATCATCACATACAGTTGGTTAAATAGAATAATAAGCAATTGAAGGAGGCCACAAAAGAGAAGTAAAAGCTCTGGGCAAGAAAGAGACTGGCTACTGAAACCAGTAAGAGACCTAGAGTACGTACCTCAGCTGTCTCTCCTTCCTCCAACAATGACTTGACATGCTAATCATGTAAAAGTAGTTGTAAGGAATCAATTTTTCTATTGCATTCCCATGGCTCTCCGACCTGTTCCCTGTCACCCCTCTCGCCATTGGATTGGAAGTCACGGCTGGTACTCTACTACTTTTATCTTTCTTCTTCTTATTTTCCTTTCACACTCATGTCCTATCATACTTACGGCATAGGAGACTCCTCTTTGACCCCCAAGAAGATATCCCAATGATGTAGCACTGATCAAAGGCTATGCATGGGAATACTTCGGCGAGAAATTAATCAACAATACAGACTGTGACTTGGCACCTTCTCATGGGTTCACTGATCCAGCCAATTCATCAGGAAAAACCATTTTGCTATATAGCTGGGTATGTTTCTATAGCTGCTATGATAGCTATTAAATTCCTATTATAGCCAATAAATTTCTATGTGAAGCCTTATAGTTACTATGTCAGCTATACCAGCTATACCAGCTCATTTATGTCTATGAGAACCTTTTTCTGATACTAATAATGATAGAATTAATATTCACCAAATAGTTTGGTACACATACAAACTAGCCCAATTATTTAATAGAAATCTATCACAAACATCCAAAGCATTTTCTGTACCCCAGTGAGCAGGCACTTGATCTTTTCCAAACAAAGGCAATAAGTGGCAGCCTTGTTGTATACTGCTTAATGGTACTATGGAAGCTGGTGGAGTACCATCAGCTCTAAGTGCAGGTTTTGTAATTGCATACATCATATGTGCTGGATCTGCACTACCTTTCAACTTGGTGTACCATTCAATGTACGCCAATGGAATTTTGGGCCAATATTTTGGTATACCAACAGAACCACCATGAAAAATGGCAGGGAGCCTGAATATTACTCTAACTCTTCCAACACGTGTACCTATGTCATGAAATATTAATTCACAACTTGAAACTGATCATGAAATTAGAGGAAAATATTACTGGCAACACCTGTTGACTCTGCTTCTAATGAGTCTAATACGACAACATTATCAAACTGTGGAGCAATTCTTTTGGACCTAGGTCTTGCTTTGACGACTTCGTACTTTACACTTGCACTAGCATCATCTCCAAGGTGAATTGTTGTGAGTTTGAAACTAGTGAATATGTCAAGTGAATCAAATGGGAGATTTGCAATATTGACTTGATTTCTGAACATATAACCTGGCTGACCATGCATTAGGCAATTCAGAAACTCCTTGATATCACATATGAAGCCATGACATTGGTGGTTTTGTTGAATTGATTGAAGGGGTTGTTGTGGAAGAGGAGATACTTTGGCTATGTTAATACCTAAGCCAGATGGATTCTGGAGAATATCTTGCTGACGTAGAACTGGTCTATTTTGTAAAGACAATTGATAGCATTCAAACCACGCAATTTTTTCTTGCCTTGTTAGCCAGATGGTCATTTGTGGACGCTCATTCCTATGATTTGATGCTCTCCATGCATCGTTCAAATGTTTCTGTGTTGTAGTTATTTGTAGCCCCAAACCAGCAAATAGAGTCAACATAGTGTAGTAGAGAGTGAAATTTAGGAATATTAAAATTTTCTCTAACACCCAGAGTGATGAAAATTACTTTGTTTTGATGAAATATTTTGAGAGCATCTGATAGATATCCAAGGGTTGTATCGCTGTGTGTGGGGTACTGAGCAATGTAATTGAAGTCCAAGAGTGATCTAATTGCAATAATTGCCTGCTTGGGGAGTTTTCCTACAAGGCATCCTAAAAGTACCTTGGCCATATCTTTTCTTTCGCCTCCAGATATCTGAGAAAGAGGCGATAAACCATTTTTGAAATGCTTTGATCCATATGCAGGAGATAAAGTGCGTATTCTTGCATCCAGTTCCTCTGTACCCATAAGATCTTGGCACCATGAGACGATATGTTTAACAACACCTTGATATATCTGATGCAAGACATCGGGGGTAATGCAAAGATGAATATCACAGTAGGGAAATCCTTCCCAAAATGGCCTGTAAACACCTCCAGATACATCTTTATCCATACATTGATCAAAAAATTCTCTCCTTGAGTTTGAAGATGAGGCTTGATTAATGACAGAGAGAGTCCAGTCAGATGTCCTAGGTTCCCCAGCTGCTTTATTTTCAAGGTCTGTTGCTGGAGGCCTGCACTTGGGACATGTTCCATACTTTGAGCAAGTCACCAGACATTGCTCAGGATAGTCGGCAACATAGCAAGCAAGAATAGGGTGAATTTTTCTCACTGCACCATCTCCACCTGTAACCTCCATTCCTTTACGTCCAGCCTCAATAAGTGGCTCCAAAATCATTTGTACTGAGGCATGGAAAAGTCTTTGAACACGTGCTGTCTTCTCCTTTGTTGTCAAGCCTTTTTTCACCAATTTATTGACAGACAGATATCCAATAAGTACACAAGCGTGCTGAGAGGGTTTGCGCCTAATAGAGCTGGGTATATTGCCTAGTGTAAGATACACTGGATATGCAGACTTGTCGCCTGAGAACTGAGTCAACTAAGTTTTGTCTGTTGCTATTGTAACAGGAGCAACAGATGCTCCCTGAGGTAGAAGAGCCTAAAATCAAAGAAATAAGTATGAAATTTAGAAAGGAACCACTGGCATTAATATATTAACCTGTACAGAATGCCACCATTTCCCAGTCCACATCTCATTAAATATACGATCATCCCTGTTGCTGTTTGTGAATATTCTTGAGGGTTTATAGACTATGTCTATCGCATGTGCTGGATTGCCCAACAAAGAAGCAATGGCTTGTAAGGGGTCTCTATATTGTATAAGGTGTTTTTCTTCTGGACAATCATCAAAGTGTAGATATTTTGAGTGCCATTTGGCCCTTTCAGGAATTTTGGAGTCAATTATTTTTGGGAGGCTTCTGCTATTTTGATAAGAAAGGCCCAGTCTCTGGGAAAGCTGGTGTAAAGGTTGGAGGTCAGTTAACATAAAACATGAATCAAAGTGTGGAGGTGTCACTCACTTCAGGAATTGCCAGTAATCTGTCAAGAGATTTCTGGCCAACCCCCTCCTGCAATGCCCAATGTGCAAATTTCCAGTCTAATTCTGTGGAAAATGGAGCCCATCTATTATCTGGAAGATCAACATCCATTTCATTGTCATCTTGATGGAACTGGTGAAAAATCTCCCTCCATTTATTGTGAGCATCCAGATCCACCCTTATAACCTTGCCAGCATTCTCATTTTATTCCACTACTCTTTCATCATCATCATCATTGTCATCCAGATTAAAGTGCAGGGAGTGGGGGTGACGTGAACTGCCAGCCTGCATCTCTGGGTCAGGGTTCAAGTTATCCTGGGTGTTGCCTTGCATTGCAGGATCATTCAGGAAATTGTTAAATGGTTCTTGTAAGCTGTTGAGGAATATATCTTCTGACCCATCTCAGTCATAATCTTCTTGGTCGTAAACATTTTCATCCAAGTTGACTTCATCAAATACTACAGTGGTAAGTTAACTTAATGTAAAAAAGCCAAAAGCATGCAACGTACATGCCCCATATGAAAGACGCCCAATAGGGCCTGTTCTTCATTACCATGTAGGTGGAAACTTGTACATTTTCCCCTCCACAAGCTCCTCGAACACGAGAGGGGCACCCAAATTCCGCAATAGCACTCAAAAAAAGATCGAGGACCGTTGAAGCACGGTTATTTGTACTTGCCTTGAGCATGACAACCTGAATTTTAATAATAATGTCAGATGGATGATTGGAAATAGATGTGACAACTTACAGTGCGACAGAACCCGTCCACCATGCCATGAATAATGTAGCCCCAGCGTATAAGCTTGTGATGCTCATTAATGTGCCATAGGGCATTTGGGTGCAGGACTCGATATTTTTGGTGTTGAATGATTTGTCGTTTTTGTAGTTGATGTCCTAGGCCGTCAACGCAATGTAAACTATGCCAAATTTGCCTATGTTGAATGTGTAAGCCGTGGCTTTGGAGAACACCGACAAGATAACGAAAGCTGGAATCAGGCTTTTGGCTCTAGAATTGCCTTGCCAAGGTATCCAAAGACATATTGCTGATATTGGAATACTCGTGCTTGACATTGTGTAACGACCAAGAGCCAGTCACTCTGGCGCACACAACACACTATAAAGGTAGTGATGAGGGAGTGGTTACCCCTTAAGCTGCAGAGAGTTTGTTGGTATACAACAGGAGGACTCGCTGAGGAGTCTCCTTGATCTATTGGGGTATTTATACTAATACAGAGTGTTTGTATCTATGTACTGTACAGTTGATAAAAGCAGTGGCTGATGATGTCAGTAGGCTTTACAATCTAAAATACTGCAAGTTAATAATCAGTAAAGCGAATAGATAGAGGTGAAGAGGGAGGTTTGACTTATTGGGCTGGAACTCCCTCCTATCAAGTCCCTACTGGATGGCAACCTCCACTTCCTGATCTGATACCCTCACATCTACTCTTGGTGTCGGAATGTTGGGTGTCGGATAGACGTTGATGTTGATCTGATGTCCACTGACATCATTGAATGTCCCCACCACTGAGCGGGCATCAGACCCAGTCTGAACGAATCCAGAAGATCGGCTAGTGGTCAGGTCCTACAAAAGAATGTTAAGAAAAAAGGAGGGGAAAACGAGGAAAACGAGAACCCACCACTACTGGCAGCGATAGCCTAATCCTGCAATTGAAAACACGTTTTATGTAGAACTATGAAGAGATTAGATTAGATTAGATCAATGTGTGAGCCGCATGGTACTTACATAAGTACAAGGCGAGCCAATAGTAAGTCCCACAACAAAAATGACGCAAGCTTTGCGCACAGGAAATGACATATTGTGAGCCAAATTAGGCGAATAATGCGGTTAATTTCGTTATCTAACGACCATATGGGGAAATCAAATCCCATGGCTAGCGGATCCCTCTCCCGTACCAACAATAATGCAGAGCCCCAAACTAGGGTTATTATGAGTGGGCGGCATGTGAGTCTCTCATCTCTTTTGTTTCTGTCTATGAGTCATGACTCCTTCGACTTCTATGGATCCTACCGAGGATAACTACTGCAAGGCACAGTCAAAGGATGGCTCACGCTGCCAGTGTGAGTTATATCTCCCTCCTCAGGATTCCACACCTCCCCTTCAGTGTCAAGAATGTACGCATGGGCCCAGCAAGCACCCAAAAGCACCGACATCAACCTGGTCACAGAGATCAGCAATGCCTGCTGCGTCTGATGCCGGGTTATCTGATGTGCAGAAAGTTCGTGACATGTTTACACGAGCTGTGGCAACACTACCGGGTCAGCCTGCTGAACATTGATTATCACTGAGAAGTGCTCAAAGGGATGTCACTGCCCGTCGTTCTTCACAACCTGTGCCGAGGAAGCCATCCAACAAGAAGGATATCGATGAAATCAAAGTTGGCCAGTGGATCTTACTGGTCAATAGACTTGATGTAAGTACTGCCATCCCATTCTAGATTATATGTGCTGACAATCACTCCTGTATCTTTCTTTCTAGCAAGCTGGCCGGCTTAGTAATGTAAAAGCGCCACTCTAGTATCACACAGATGCTCACATATTGAGGCAGAAGCGGCCAGACTCTCTTTTTCTAGAGAGTGGGGCCATGAAGAGGTTGACACCTACCTACGTGCAATTTTTCCGACACCATTTGGGTACATTGACAACCACACGAAAGGCAAGAGCATAAATGCCGCATGGGTGCTGATTGAGAAGGAAAATCGTAGGATTGCCATCGTCCCAAAGGATAGGCCATCTGGCCAGGATTTGTATCGTTACAGAGGCCCAGAAAAGTGCAGCGTAGCAAATGCTCGGATCATGATTGGCATGTTCTTATAAAACACACTCGAGATATATATACTTAACTAATTCAACCATCACAGCTCTTCGTCCAATAATTCCATTTGACAAATTCGAAAGTTGGAACACGACTTCTGACTGTAACTTGGATGACTTATGGCAAATATATTTCCCAGAGGATGAAGATGAAGCGCTTGAGGTGGACAAAGCTAGTCATGTTGCTGTACCAAGACACGGCCATTATTCCTCGAGAAAGCGTAGTACGTCCCCTATTTGATGATAGACTAATCTACTGACTGTTATAAACAACCGACAGTTGCCTCTGCGCCGTGTATCAAGCGGATCCATGCAGCGGATAGCAACAGCGAAGGACATATCAACATTGAAGCAAGCCCTGTGTTACAGGCTCAGAAACGCTTCAGATGACATGGAGATTGTTGAAGAAGATATACGTACAGTGGACTTGGAATTGAGGGAACCTTGTAAGGATTTTGACAAAACCGGATAAACCCGGTCTCTGCCAAAGCAGCCATTGTTCTCCTTGGAGCATTGTTTTCACTCCTAGAACCCACCTTTGACACCTAGGGGCCAGGGAATAATCGGTATATTGTTTATATCGTTCCCAGGTAGCAGTCCTCCCCCTATGAACAGGAAGGTGCCCACATGTCCGAAAATGATCCTGTGTTTCTCCTGGCC